TTTTCCCCTGCAAAATGGCCTCCCTTTGTACCCACTCGCCCTGGCCCATGCTGGCCACCCAAGCTACAACTTTCCGAATTTTGCTGAATTTCTCCAAAACCAAAGTGGTCAGAAGCTAGGTCCCAGCAAGTGCTCAGAGCCGCAAATATCAGCTTTCACCTGATGCCCAGAGCCTGGCCAAATGACTTCTTTTTCCCCTGCAAAATGGCCTCTCTTTGCGGCCACTCGCCCTGGCCCACCCTGACCACCCAACCTAAAAATTTCCAAATTTTGTTGGATTTCTCCAAAACTAATCGGGTCAGAATCTAGGTCCCTGCAAGTGCTCGGAGCCCCAAACGCCAGCTTTCATCTGATGCCCAGAGCCTAGCCTAATGACGTATTTTTCCCAGGCCAAACAAGATAGAAATTTCCAAATTCTCCAGGATTTCTCGAAAACCAAAGTCGTCAGAATCTAGGTCCCTGCAAGTGCTCAGAGATCCAAACGCCAGCTATCATCTGATGCCCAGAGCCTGGCCAAATGACGTCTTTTTCCCCTGCAAAATGGCCTCTCTTTCCACCAACTCATGCTTCCCCACCCTGGCCACCCAAACTAGAAATTTCCAAATTCTGTTGGATTTCTGCAAAACGAAAGTGGTTAGAATCTAGGCCAATGCAAGTCCTTAGAGTCCCAAGCGCCTGCTTTCATCTGATGCCCAGAGCCTGGCCAAATGACTTCTTTTTCCCCTGCAAAACAGCCTCTCTTTGCGGCCACTCGCCCTGGCCCACCCTGACCACCCAACCTAAAAATTTCCAAATTTTGCTGGATTTCTCCAAAACTAAAGTGGTCAGAAACTACGTCCCAGCAAGTGCTCAGAGGCACAAATATCAGCTTTCACCTGATGCCCAGAGCCTGGCCAAATGACTTCTTTTTCCCCTGCAAAATGGCCTCTCTTTGCAGAAACTCTCCCCATCGCACAATGAGCACCCAAGACAGAAATTTCCAAATTTTGCTGGATTTCTCCAAAACTAAAGTGGTGATAAGCTAGATCCCAGCTCGGCCTTATAGCCCCAAACGCTAGCTTTCATCTGATGCCCAGAGCCTGGCCAAATGACTTCTTTTTCCCCTGCAAAATGGCCTCTCTTTGCGGCCACTCGCCCTGGCCCACACTGAGTACCCAAGCTAGAATTTTCCAAATTTTGCTGGATTTGTCCAAAACTTAAGTGGTCAGAACCTAGGCCAATGTGTGTCCTTTAGAGCCGCAAAGGCTTGCTTTCATCAGATACCCAGAGCCTGGCCAAATTACTTCTTTTTCCCCTGCAAAATGGCCTCTATTTGCGGCCACTCGCCCTGGCCCACCCTGGCTATCCAAGACAGATATTTTCAAATTTTCCTGGATTTCTCCAAAAGAAAACTGGTCATAATCTAGGTCCCTGCAAGTGTTCGGAGCCCCAAACACCAGCTTTCATCTGATGCCCAGAGCCTGGCCAAATGACTTCTTTTTCCCCTGCAAAATGGCCTCTCTTTGCAGACACTCGCCCCGTCCCACAATGGGCACCTAAGCTAGAAATTTCCAAATTTTCCTGGATTTCTCCAAAACTAATGTGGTCAGAATCCAGGCCAGAGCAAGTCCTTAGAGCCCCAAACGCCAGCTTTCATCTGATGCCCAGAGCCTGGCCAAATGACTTCTTTTTCCCCCTGCAAAATGGCCTCTATTTGCGGCCACTCGCCCGGGCCCACCCTGACCACCCAAACTAGAAATTTCCAAATTTTCCTGGATTTCTCCAAAACTAATGTGGTCAGAATCCAGGCCAGAGCAAGTCCTTAGAGCCCCAAACGCCAGCTTTCATCTGATGCCCAGAGCCTGGCCAAATGACTTCTTTTTCCCCTGCAAAATGGCCTCTCTTTCCGCCCACTCACGCCTTCCCACCCTGACCACCCAAACTAGAAATTTCCAAATTTTGTTGCATTTCTCCAAAACTAAAGTGGTCAGAATCTAGGTGTCAGCAAGTGCTCAGAGCCCCGAATGCCAGGTTTCATCTGATGCCCAGAGCCTGGGCAAATGACTTCTTTTTCCCCTGGGAAATGCCTCTGTTTGCAGCCTTTTCCGCCAGCTGCCCATGGCTTGCCAAGTATGACATTTGGAAAGGTCGCTGGATTTCTCCAAAATTAAAGCTGTCAGCAGCTAGGACCCTGCTAGTCCTTAGATCCCCAAGAGCCACCTTTGGCTGATATCCAAATATTGGGAAATGACTTCTTACTCTCGCAGAAAATAGCCGCAACTTGCAGCCACTCGCTGTGTCTGACCTTGGCCTTCTGAGCTCAACATTTGCAAACTTTTTTGGATTTCTCTGAAACCAAACTGCCAGGAACGAGGACACTGCAAGTCCTCAGAGCCCCAGACACCACCTTTATACTGACGCCCAGACCCTGGGAAATGACTTCTTTTTCCTATGGAAAATTGCCTTAATTTTCAGCCAGTTCTGTTTAATATTTTTATTGATGATATGGATGGGGGTTTAGGGTCTTTTATTAGTAAATTTGCAGATGACACTAAGCTGGGAGCATGTGTCAATCTGTTAGAGGGACGGAGGGCTTTGCAGAGGGGCTTGCAACGGTTGGATGGATGAGCAGAATCTAATGGGTTGAAGTTCAATAAGTCCAAGTGCCGAGTCCTGCACTTTGGCCACAATATCCCCCTGCAACTTTATAGCCTTTGGACGGTGTGGCTGAACAATGCTCAGGTGGAAAGGGACCTGGGGGTGCTGGTTGACAGTTGGCTGAACATGAGCCACCAGTGTGCCCAGGTGGCCAAGAAGGCCAATGGCATCCTGGCCACTACCAGGAATAGTGTGGCCAGCAGGAGCAGGGAGGTCATTCTTCCCCTGTACTCAGCACTGGTGAGGCCACACCTTGAGTACCGTGTCCAGTTCTGGGCCCCTCAGTTTAGGAGGGACGTTGAGATGCTTGAGCGTGTCCAAAGAAGAGCAACGAGACTGGTGAGAGGCTTGGAGCACAAGCCATATGAGGAAGGACTGAGGGAGCTGGGATTGTTTAGCCTGGAGAAAAGGAGACTCAGAGGTGACCTTATCACTCTCTTCAACTTCCTGAAGGGTGCCTGTGGTGAGCTGGGGGTTGTTCTCTTTCTCCGGGCAACATCAGATAGAACAAGAGGACACAGTCTCAAGCTGTATCTCCAGGGAGATACAGGCTAGACTTAAGGAGGAAGTTTTTCACAGAAAGAGTGGTCAAATACTGGAATCATCTGCCCAGGGAGGTGGTGGAGTCACCATCCCTGGATGTGTTTAAAAAAAGCATGGATGTGGTGCCACGATCTAGTTGAGGTGTTAGAACATGGGTTGGACTCAATAATCCTAAAGGTCTCTTCCAACCTAGAGATTCTGTGATTCTGTGATTTGGAATAATATGTGCTGATGTGAAATATAGGGGCATAGGACATGCTTGTTACAAATATTCTTAAAGGTTTCAAACTCACAAGCCAGGGAGATTGCTTCACAAAATGGCGACACCATAGCTAGCTGGCAGCAGGGAGAAAGATCTAATTAGCAAACAAATTGATGTAGCTCTGCACAGAGATGGGCCCTTCTCCAGGATAGTCCAGGAAACACCCAAGCAGTGAATACTTGATAAGCATCTCTGATCAGATAGCCAGAGCCATCAGGAGCACCAGTTGCAGTAACTTGATGATTGACATACATCGCTTTCCGGACATGCTTTTGTTCAGCTCAACACAGAGAAAAGAAACTGCATGAATATGTGAAGCCATGAAAAGAAGAAAAGAGGCTCTGCCTCAGGCTGAATAAACTGTATAAGAACTGTCCAGACCAGAAAGCCTGCTTGAACAGAAGGGGTCCAATGCGATAGAGGTTGGATCAGTGTTCACCCAGTGCCAATCCCAGGCTCGGCGCTGACCCTTTTGATTGTGGCTATTGAAAATGTATATCGGTCACAAAATAAAAATCTATTTTTATTAATTATTAAATTGATTTATCAATTTTTACCTATAACACCCGCATCTTCCATGTAGGTAAAACTGTGGTGCAGAGGATCAGGAATGGGACATCACGCCATCATCAATGTGATCAAGTGAAGCCCAATTTATTACTCCAAAAAGGCTATATTTATAATAAGTTTCTACTGTTCACGTGCCTCTGTAGCTAATACATGATTGGTTAATCCTAGCTAAATTAGAAGGCTGATTGGATTGTCTGATTTTTTACGCACTTTACTGTGGTTGTCTGGCCACACCCTTTGCTTCTTTTTTCTCATTTTCTCAAACTTGCTGACAAACTTGCTGAGTCTTGATGGCTCTTCTTCTTGTATCTTTCTCAAGGATATACCTGTTTCTGAATATGTCCATTATTCATTGTCCATTATCCAATTGTTGCCAGCAGGCTGGATTGTGCATTGGCTGAATATGGCCATTGTTTTTCAAAAACTCCTCAACCTGCAAAAAAAAAAAAAATCCTCAACATAAAATGCTTATGGGGAGGGAAACATCCAGTACAGGGAGAGGCTTACTGGGACTGAGAGATGAAAATGACATCAGAGCCTAAGTCCTTTCCTTCTTCATGGGATGGAAGTTTTAAGAGCTACAAGCAACTAGTCTGCCTACAAATAGGACCATGCTTGGGACCCTTACCAACTCTACTGACACGTCTGCTGCAGTTATAGCCAGTAAAGCCCAAGTGGCTATTTATGGACGGCTATGGATGATTTGCATGCAGAGTGTCGGTGCCCTAAATCAGTGGTCCTCCTTCCTGTGAACCCCCATATTTTTCAGTTCCTGTGAAGCTGCCTGTATCTTTCCTTACCCTTTGTTCCTTAAGAGCATGGCAAGTAGTGAAAACTGCCAGGATGGCTCGGAGTTGCTACCGTCTCCTCTGTCACTTTCTGCCCGTCTGCCACCCCATTGCCCCTTCCCCTGAAGTAGGACATAGTTGGAAACCATCCAGAGCTGATGCAGGAATGCTACCGTCCTCTCACTGCCCTGTGTCCTCTTTCACCCCCATCTCTTTCCATATCCCCCGTTCCCTGCCTGGGGAACAGGGGATATGGAAATCATAATTTCTGTTACTTTATCCTCTGTAATTAAGTCTCAAATGCGTTTCTATTACTGTTAATTCAGCTTAACAATGTTCATTTCAGTTTTGTAAACCATTAAGACTGAAAAATGCGTATTTTATTATTGGCTTTTCACAAATATTACAATAAATATTATATGTGTCATGTTAGAAAGTTATGCTGTATAAAGATTTTAACAGTATGGTAAATGTAGTTTCATAGATAAAGGTAACTTTTGTAGCTAAAATAGGAACTATGTATGTGGAATGTTTTCTTTTTAGAAAGGAATGAGGTGCTCCCAGTGGATGGCAGCTGGAGGACACCTAAATCTTTCAGCGAAAGAGAATTTATTGTTCTTTTATCAGGACAAACTGTTGCGATGTGTTGTCATGGTGTGCCTCAGTTTCCCTGGTTTCTCCCTGAAGTTTCCTTCCCCAGGTGATGTGTCAATCACCTCTCTTTTCCCCCCACCTTGACCCCTGCCGGGCACTGTCTATCAACTCAGAAATTCCAGGGAAGCATCGAGTGATTGGCAGGTTCAAAGGATGCTCTCTGTTATAAATAGAAAGTTGTATTTTTTTTTTTGAGTTTCAGAGTTTAAAAACAAGTCAGACCTCTTTGGTTTCACTGCCGAAGAAAAACTCTTCAATTACCCGTTAATGGCCGGTGATTAACTATTGTTTCCCTGATGCTGGCCGCTTGCCAAGAAGACACCAGGACAGACCCTCCAAGGTAAAGAGAATGGGCAGTGACATCAGAGCCAGTATGCAGATGAGAAATGCATTGCGCCCTGAATTTTTACAGTTTTACAGTTTTTACAAGAAAAACCCCTAAAATCACGAGCCAACAAGTGACTTAAGTGACGTCTAAGGATGGGAACATAGTCCCGTACCTGCTTAGACCCTTTTTGTTTCTCACCCTAACCTGAAAAAATACTGATTAAAGAGATGCCCCGGGGTGTTAAACAAACAAGCCAGGAATCTGCGACTCTCCCGTGAGGACGGAATCCCCAGCTCTGTCTGCAGACCAGTGGACAAAGCTGCATCATCCTCCTTCTCCGTGACACGCCTGGGAGCACCGGCGGCGTGGGCACGACCCGTTGATTTCTCCCCACCTGAGCTGATTCTTCTTAATAAAGGCATTAAAAAAGGAGAAAGATCTCCTGCCCATTTATTTCACTCTCCACCCTATGGGGGGCCATTGGCCCATCCAGGTGTCCCTCTCACCTGAGACCCCCTCCCCCCATACCTGGTTGGTGGTCCTTGTGTTTCCTCCCCTTGCTCTCTCCCCCAGGTAAAAAGGGTGAGCACACCACGTGCCAGGAAGTTCTTGTGGAGCTGTTACTGGATTCAGAGGCCATGTGGCCCAGAATAAAATCTCTCGATTAAACCCTCCATGAGGACTGACTCCTTCTTCACCATCACCTTAAAAGGTTTCTCCAGCACAGAGAGGCCTGAGGAGTGACCCTCTTTTACCAACAAGCTCCAGTGCATAAGCACTGGAGCTCAGGACATGCCTGGACTTGTCCCCATGTGCACACAGCTAGCCAGAGCATCTCTGGGGTGCAAAACATCACAGGTGCCGCTATTTGGTTTAGCAGCATGGACCAGACAAGCCAAGGTACATCCCGTTCAGTAATATTGGAAAAATCCAATAATAAACTATCTTCTTCCTGCCTTGTTCAGTCAAAAAGATGCCGTTAGGATTAAGAGGAGAAGTTGATGATTACCAGACAAAGTCCTGTGTTTGAATGGAATATATGCATCACGTATGAGGTGTATGAATATGCAACAGGTGCTTGCTTTTAAGGGTTAATCCCCTGTTAACAGGTATCCTTTTTCGGGCTTGTGTTGCCCAGGAAAAGGTACCCGGACATCCGTATCTCTTTGTTTTTACTGTCTCATATTGTCCTAATCTCAATTGTTCAAATTTTATTACTCTAATTATATTATTATTGTTATAACCATTTTATTACAATTAAAATTTTAAAAATTTCAAAAGCAAGTGATTGGCATTTTTCACAAAGACATATTTCCAAGAATACCCTTGTTTTAACCAATTTATAAACAGAGGAATTGTGGAGTCTTTCTGTTTTGAGGAGGCTGTAATCTGATTTTAAGACTCCTCCCATGGGACACCTGATAAAATCCCATGGCCCTGGGTCTCCTCTCTCTGCTCTCTGGGCTTTGCTCAGGCTCCCGGGCCTCCGCCTCCTGCCCCTATCCCTAGCACGGGGTGCGGTGGGGGGGAATAAAATGGACTGTCATGCAAAACTTGTCTCATCTGTTTTCCCGGCCATTGAGTTGTGGCCTCCCTGGACATGATCTCGTCACTGTAGCCATACGCTGCTACACCAAAGGTGACAGAAACTAGGAACAAGCATTCCCTTAGAGCCCCAAACGCCACCTTTCATCTGATGCCCAGACCCTGGGGAAATGACTTCTTTTTCCCTTGGAAAGTGGCCTCCGTTTGCAGCCACTCACACAGGCTGACAATGGGGTGCCAACCTAAAAACTTGAAAACTTTGCTGGATTAATCCTAAATTAAAATGCTCGGAACTAGGCCTGTACATGCCCTAAGAGCCCCAGCTGTCCTCTCTGAGCTCACACCCAGACCCTGGGGAAATTACTTCATTTTCCAACGGAATATAGCCTCTGTTTGTGGCCACTCACCCTGGACAATAATAGGGTGCCAACCTAAAAATTTGCAAACTTTGCTGGATTAATCCTAAATTAAGCTGCCAGGAACTAGGCCCATGCAGGCCCTTAGATCCCCAAACGCCACCTCTGAGCTGACACCTAGACCCTGGAGAAATTACTTCTCTTTCCTTTGGAAAATGGCCTCTGTTTGTGGCAACTTGCACTGGCCAAAAATAGGGTGCCAAGCTAAAAATTTGCAAACTTTGCTAGATTTCTCAAAAACTAATGTTGCCAGGAAGACGGACTATGCATGCCCTTAGAGCCCCAAACGCCAGCTTTCATCTGATAGCCAGACACTGGGGAAATGACTTCTCTTTCCCCTGGAAAATGGCCTCTGTTTGAAACCGCTTGCAAAGCCCAGCACAGGGTTGCCAATCTAAAACAGCACAAACCTTGCTGGATTTCTCCAAAACTAAAGCTGCCAGCAACTAGGACCAAGCAAGTCCTTAGAGCCCCAAACACCACCTCTGAGCTCATACCCAGACCCTGGAGAAATGATATATTTTTCCCTTGAAAAATGGTATCCTTTTGTGGCCTCGCAGACAGTGTGGTGTCAAGCTAGAAATTTACGAACTTCGCTGGATTTCTCTAAAACTAATGTTCCTAGCAAGGAGGATCAAGCATTCCCTTAGAGTTTCAAATCCCCCCTCTCAACTCATACCCAGATCCTGGGGAAATGACTTCTCTCTCCCATGGAAAATGGCATCTGTTTGTGGCCACTTGCACTAGCAAATAATAGGGTGCCAACCAAATAATTTGCAAACTTTGCTGGTATTCTCAAAATCAAAAGATACCTACAACTAAGGCCCTACTATCCCTAAGAGCCCCAAACGCCACCCCTAAGCTGATATCCAGACCCTGAGGAAATGACTTTTTTTTCCCAGGGAAAATGACCTCCGTTTGCCACCAGTCACACTGGCCAACACTGGGCTGCAAAGCGAAAAATTTTGCAAACTTTGCTGGACTTCTCCAAAATAAAAAACCCTTACCTATAAACAGAGGCCAGACAGAATTAAGGAAATACAAATAGATATATCTAATGAAGGGTCTTTATGTAAATTAAGGACAGATGAAACCTCCCCAAGGGGCTGTCCCTACAATGGAGGCTAGCCAAATGCTTTTCAGACAGATATAAGTTTGGTCTGTTTATATATCAATGGTTAATCCTCCAAATATCGCTTCAGGTAATGAAGTCATATACCCCCAGTTCCACATGTGAGGGGCAAAATCTGTACATAGGAGGGTCCTGAGGCCTTTCTCCCACCAGAGGTATCTGCCTGTATCTGAGAGATACAGGCACAGGGGAGCTCTCGGGTCTTCCTGCAGTGCTGGAAACACCAAAAGGTTTCTTATGCTGCTGGTTTTGCACTAGGGAGGTCGGGACATATCCTGTTCCACGGCAGCAGAAGGCTGCAGCCTATCTTCAGGGAGTGAGTCAAGCAGGGTGTCCTGAGCGCAGGAAGGGAGACCCTGGGGTTCTGCACACCTGATTCTTGAGGAATTTAGCCCTGCTCCTTCTCCTTCACTCCTTCTTCACTGCTTGGCATATCCACCACGGACCTGGGCAGGCTGCTCGCGTGGCCAGAGTTACTTGTCATGTCGAGAGACACCTGCTGCTCTTCTCCAAAGACTTCCTTACGAGAGCCCGGCGCAGCCCGGCGCGCTGCCGGCCGCTAGTCCCACCCGCGCTGGGCAGTGGGGCAGCGCAGGCAGAGTGTCCTGCGCAAGCGCGGAGTCCCTGCGTGTGCACGGGCCTAGACTCCATTTCCCAGGGCGCACAGGGACTACCTAAGGCGCGGTTCGTGTGCGTCACTTCCGCCGCGGTAGCGATGACTCGTCTTTGCGGCGTTCGCGGCGGGAGAGACGGTGAGGGGCGGGAGGCCCGGGGCAGCTGGAGGCCGTGTTCTTGGGCCTCGGGACGGAGCGGGGGGTGCTGGGGAGGGTCTGTAGAGAGGATCGGTCGTGGGCTCTGAGGGGCCAGGAACGACCGGCCGGTTTCTGGCGCGTCACACTCGGGTCTTCCTCGGGCAGCGTGGGTGGAACCGGGCGGTTCTCTATTCAGAGGTGTCCTGGAGTCCCTCTGGGCTTCGTGAATGGGCAGGAGCAGCCTGGGCTGCATGCGCTGCTGTGCGGCTGCAGCAGGGCAGGACTGGGGGGAAGGAAGGGGCTTCTGGCAACCGCGCTGGCACGGGCTGGGCAGGCGGGTCATGCCAAGCGCAGGAGGTTCAGCGAGGCCAAGGGCAGGTGCTGCACCTGCATTGGGGCAACCCGAAACACAAACAGGCTGGGGGAGAATGGATGGAGAGCAGCCCTGAGAAGGCTATGGGGACATGGGTTGACAAAAAGCTCAGCATGCCGTGGCAACGTGCACTGGGAGCCCAGAAAGCCAACGCACCCTTGGGCTCATCCCCGGCAGCGTGGGCAGCGTGTGAGGGGGGGATTCTGCCCCTCTGCTCTGCTGAGACCCTCCCCTGCAGAGCTGCCTCCAGCTCTGGGGTCCCCAGCCCAGGGAGGACAAGGAGCTGCTGGAGTAAGTCCAGGGGAGGCCACAGAGATGATCTGTGGGGCTGCAGCCCCTCTGCTCTGGAGACAGGCTGGGAGAGCTGGGGATGTTCACCTGGAGAGCAGAGGATTCCAGGGAGACTCTAGAGCGCTTTTGAGGGCCTACAGGGATTCCAAGAGAGTTGGAGAGGGACTTTGGACAAGGGCCTGGAGTGACAAAACAAGGCTTTCCACTGCCAGAGGGCAGAGTTAGATGGGATATTGGGAAGAAATTGGTCCCTGTGAGGGAGGTGAGTCACTGGCACAGGTTGTCCAGAGAAGCTGTGGCTGCCCCATCCCTGGAAGTGTCGAAGGCCAGGTTGGATGGAGCTCAGAGCAACCTGGGCTAGTGGAAGGTGTCCCTGCCCATGGCAATTGCATGGTCTTTACAGCCCTGTCCAACCCCAACCACCCTGTGACTCTGGAGGGCAGAAGCCCTGATATTGAAGTGGTTTTTGTATTTGAAAGCCCCATCAAGTGTCCTCACTTGTCACATCTGTAGTGTTCCTGTGGTCTCCTTGTTCGCTCAGCAGGGTGGCTGTAGAGGTACTATGTTCGGGTAAGTCAGACCACGTGGCCTGATACAGAGACTTGTGCAGGGGATCATAAAAGCCACTGGAGGGAGTTGGTGATTCCTCAGTGGCTGGAAATAGGGAAGAATAATGTTGGAAGTGAGAAACTGTGCTTTCTGAGAAGAACTAATTCTGTTGTGTAAGACAGTGCTGGAAAGTTGCCAGGCTTTGCAAGGGCAATTAACCATTAGTTGCTAAAACTGATGAAATTGTTATTACCAAGGCCTTTGCTCTGGAAGTTAGTAGAAGAGGCTTAGTGATCTGAAAGCTTTGCCCATTATTGAGATGTGCAGGGCCAGGGCTTGGACTCTATGATCTTTTTGGGTCCCTTTCAACTCAGGATGTTCCATGATTCTGTGAAAGGGAGTGATACTGGCCAGGGCTTTGAAAGGGGAGAAGACCATGAACTTTTCTTCCATGGCTGCAGATCTGGGACACTGCCATGCCAATTCTTACATCCTCACAGGCAAGTGTTCAGAGATTTCAAATGATCAGTGGCATTCCATTTCCTTGTGTTTCTCCAGGTCCCGGGGTAGTTCCTCTGCCTGTGGAGGAGCATCTGGGTCAGCCTTGGGTGGGTGTGGCTGTCTGTGACCACGAGCACTCAGATCTGTCAGCAGCACTTTTGCTCTTTCCCATCTCCTCACTTTTCTTCCCGGGATGAAATTACAAGTGTTCCTTAACGTCCAGCTCCCAGAGCCAGCAATGTGTCCCACACTGTGGTTCTGCTACTTCAGCCCCCTGGGCAAAGGATTTGGTGGCTGCAGCAGCAGCTGTGAGGTGTCCTCTGTGTTCTGACGGAGAAACAAGCAAACAGAAAAAAGAACAACCAGAAGTCCCAAACTGCCTTGTCCAGCCCCTTTGGAGGCAGAACCCCTCTTTCCTCTGCAGCTGCAGCAATCTGAGCAGCGCAGCTTGTTACTGCCCAGAGGGGTCTGTCTGTAGGGCTCTGCCCCCTGTGCTGCCTCCAGCTCTCATTTGCCTGCTGCAGTTTTCTGCAGGGTATCATATTTCAGGGTTCCCTCCAGGTGCTGCCTGCCCTGTGGGACAGAGATTGCTCTGGTGACACCACAGACCTTGTTTGATAGAGGATGTCACAGCTGCTGCTTTGTCGTGTTGATGCTGTTCTCTGACCCACCAGCTTGCCCAGGTCCATGGTGGGCTTGTAAAGCCATGAGGGTGGGATGCAGGGAGGAGGATCAGGGTTAAATTCATCAAGAATCAGATGCACAGGCTGGGAAACTTGCTGCACTGGGGATGCTCTGCTTAACTACAGCCACACTCCACTAGACAGGCTTTCAGCTTTCTCCTGGCAGTGAATCAGGACATGTTCTCTGCCATTAGCTCTTTTCCTGTGCCGTTCTCTGACCCTCTGTCCCTTTGGATGGAGCCACCCAGGACACAAAATGGCCGCTGGTGGCTGAGGAGGGCTAAGGGCCCTGCTAAGAGGGGACACTGGAGCCGGGGACACAGGCTCAGTTGGTTCCAGCAGCAGCTGGATCCAGCATTCCAGTCTGCAGGAGGGGACTTTGCTGAGGCACAGAGCCAAGGATGGGGAGCTGAACCACAGCAGCTTCACCAAGCCTCGCTGTGTCTTGAGCCACTACAAGGCCTTGGGGGCTTCACCCTTGTTTTCCATAGTTCCCAGACCTGGTGGACATGCAGTATTGTCCCTCAAATGCTTGTGGCTGTGTCAGGGGTCTTCCCACTGCAAGACTTGAAGTCCTCTTGTTTGTGGGGAAACCTTTTAGAATTGTTTGCCAGCCCTGGCAGCACAGTGTCAACCATGTGCCCCTCCAGCAGCACCTGTACCAGCATCTGCAGCACCAAGCCAGTCTGGGGAACTGTCATGGATTGACTGGCACAATGCTAGTGTTTCTGTGAAAGGTATATTTCTAAAATGGTTACTGTGAGATGGGATCTGGAAATAGAACAAAGCAGGCTCTAACTTGGGAATGGAGGGAAAACACAACACTTTATTAATCTATAACATAACGACGAAAGGGGAAAAAAGGAAAAAAAAAAACCTACATACAATCTACAATGGAAAACCTTTAAAATACTCCTCTTCCCCCCACCCTTCTAACACTCAATTCTCAGTCCTATCCTCCACACAACTCTTCAGTTTATTAGGAGAGATGAGTCTCCCGCTTGCACTATGGGCTTCCCCAGGAAACACAGTTTGAACTTCTTGTGTTTCTATGTCACACATGTCAGCTGCCTGGAGAGAATTTGCCGTGGTGACCATCTTTTTTCCATGTCTAGTGTTCTCACCACTGTCCATGCATTCAGACTGTTTCTTAGGTCTTTTTAAGAATGCCTTGCTTAGTTCTAAGAAGTGGCAGCCTCTCACCATTTGGGACACCTGTCCCCCCTATATTTCACCTCTTGGGGCCAAGGGGTCTCATGAACAGAGATCTTTCTCTGCTGAAGGCAGAGGGCTTCACCACACTCCCTATGAGTCTCTGTTCTCTACTTCTGCTCAAAACAGCTTTGTCACTCTTGGCTTTTGGCCAACCACCTCCGCTAAGGTGCATTCTCTACGTTACAGGAGAAATTGGTTCTGTCTTGTGGCTATGTAAGAGGAAAGTCTAGTCAAAAGGTAACTGCAATCCTCGCCTCTTATCTAGGGTGTTTCTCATCTGCTGGCATTTCTTCACTCACTCAAGCCTTCTTCTCATTTGCCTATCTTCTGTCTCCTCTCAATTCTCAGCTGGGGAGGATCAGTGTTTTTTACAGCTGCCATTGTTTCAGCACCGTGGTCTGACGGCGGCTGGGCACCTTGGCCCCCCCCCCCTCCCCCTTCTTCTCCTGGCCATGGTGCCAGCACAAGATATCAAACTTCAAGCCAGCACAGACTCTCTATCACTCTCCCGGAGCAGGGGGGGGCTGCCCAAAACATCCCAGATCTCCTCCACCCCTGCACCTTGCAGGGCTCCGCTTCCCTTTCCACAGGCCGCATGGCCTCCCCCACACAGATGCAGCTGGACAGGGGAGGAGGTCAGATCACTTACTGACCGGACTCCAAAAGAGAGAGTTCCCTCTGTGAATCTTCTGCTTTTAACCCCTGTGTGTTCTCAGAGGCATATCCAGTGGCCACACTAGGTGACAATTTTAAATCTGGCCACTGATTGGTTTGACCACAACTTTTTCAGAAATTCACTTCCTGGTCAAACCATGACGGGGACGTGGGACCTGTCACACCTGCTGTCACCAGTGACCACCCACTGGGTAACATCCAGCACACTGGGATGCTCTGGGATGTCCCCAGAGCAGGGGTCAGGCTCTCTGGTCACACCAGGGGAGTGACCCATGGAGTGGGGCCCACCCAGAACCCTTGGGGTCCCCACGGGTGCCAGGTTGGAGACACAAATGCCCCACTGTCTGAGACTCATGGGGGGGCTGACTGCTGCCAGGTATGTCATATATGCAGGTGCCACTTGGTGACAGTGAAGTTGTCATGTCCCTCCTGCCTCCAGTACCACCCGTGCTTGTACCAGGTGGTGGCACTGGCAGTCCCCAAGCCCTGGCAGCTCAGTGTGACTGTCCCACAGCACCGGCCTCCAGGGGGGCTCCACAAGGAGCTGGGTGGTCTGGGTACCTGCAGGTGACAGGGAAGACCAGCCTGCCAGAGCCAGCATGGGGAGGGGGACATGGCATGCCCTGAAGACTCACCAGCAAGGCTGCAGGTCTGGGCTGGAAGGAAGAAGGGACAAGGCTAGGTGGGGGTGGCACAACAGGGACAGAAGCATGAGTGCACGGGGTGTGGGGGTGTCCACAAACTGTCCATGTGTGGCATGGACCCCTCAGAGACAGGGACATTGTGGCCACCCCACAGTGAGGCTAGGCACAGGGAAACTGTGGACACCCCCAAAATGGGGACATCACGGCCACCCCACACTGTCACAGGTCACCCCCACAAGCCACCTGATGCCTCCCCAAATCCCTGTCCCACCAGTAATATCCCCACCTTCCTGTCCCCACGACCCCGGTCACTTCCCACACAGGCTCTACTGGCACTGGGGACTTAAGAGAACCCTGCAGTTCCCCTGTGCCAACTTCCCTCCCTATCCCAGGGACACGAGGCCCGTGCCTGGGGTGCTCACCCCACAGGAGCAGCGCCACCCTCCTGGCCATCCCAGTGTCCCCAGCCATGTGCACTGGCTGTTGCTGCTGTGGCCACCGCTTCCCTTGGTGGCAGCTGTTCAAATGAAGGGGAAGGAAATGAGGTCACATCTTGTCCCCACCTGTAGGTGGCCCTTGGTGGGGGCAGGATGGACACCTTGTGGGACATGGGGGTGACGGTTGGGGACATGGTGTTGCCTGAATTTGGAAATTGAGGCAGTGTAGGAAGCCAGCAATGGGTGTCCAGGGGAATGGGGTGCCCAGGGATGGGGTCCCATGGGAATGGGGGTCCCAAGGATTGGGTGGACTCAGAATCAAAGAGGAGGGTCCCAGAACAACATGGCCTCCAGGGATTTGGGATCATGGGATGGGGACACCAGGGCCAAGGAGGGACCCCTGTGAGAATGGGGGTCCTGGGGGAATCAAGGGAAGGGGTGTCCCAAGGTCTAGAATTACCAGGATGTGGTTCCTTGGGACTGGAGATCCTGAGGAATTGCAGCCTAGGGATGGGGATCCCAGGGAAGGGGAGACAGAAGGAAATGGGGTCCCATGGTTGGAGTCCCAGAGGAATGGGGGTGCCAGGGATGGGCACTGGCTGGGTGGGCCCATGGGTCACAGTTCCTTCCCTGGTTGCCTCAGATTTGGGAGTGACCCAGGGTCCAGCGCTGCCTCCCTGGGGTGCTCATTTCCTGGCCAGCCATCACATGGGGGTCCTGGGTAGCTCTGCTTCTGTGCCCTCCCCTGCCTTTGTCCTTTTCTTCTCTTTATTCCTTTTTTTCCTTATTTTACTTATTTTTGTGCCATGTCCCCTTACCCCTGGTTCCTGGCTCATCAATCCTGGGGAGCACCTGAGGAGGGAACAGGTTGGGGAGACTTAGGGGAGGGGGAAAATGGGGTGTGGGGGCTGCAGGGAAGGGTGGAGAGGCTTTGAGGGATGAAGGTGTTGGACTGTGCCCCCTCAACACTTTCTTTTTCCTGGACGAGAAGGAAGAGGCCGTTTGTGCTGGGAGTCAGATTGGAAAGGCGTGTGGACTCTGTCCTGGGGGGTCACATCCATGAGGGTCCTGTCTTGGGAGGTCCCAGTTCTGTGGGTGACCTGAGTAAAACCAGTCCAGGGGGTGACACATCCTAGCATGGGGTGTCCTCTCCCGTGGGGTGGTGGTTCCAGAAGTGTCACTGCACGTTCCTGGTTGGGTGCCTGTTCAAGGGGTGGCACATCATGGGGACCCCTGTCAATCCTAGGATGGGGCCCAGCCCCAGTGCACAGGGACGGCCATTGCCCAGCCCTGCTCTGGCCAGCCCCAGGTGGCAGCCAGGACCTGAGGGTCCTCCCTGCCCCCTTGGCTTTGATTCTGGCAGCTTTAGAGCTGCTGCAGACGTGAGAATTCTGTGGGCAGAAAAAGGCCTGCCTGTGGTTTGCTCAGCCCTGCAAGAAGCACAAAACCCAATGGGAGCCCAAGCAGTGGCTCTGTGAGGGCCTTTGATGGTTTTCAGAGCAGGACTGGCTGGAAAACCCCCATGCAAGGGCAGCTGTGTGGGAACCAGTGCGAAAATGCAGCAATTGATCATTTGTCCCCTCTCGCCAAGGGACTGAGAAAACCACAAAACTACTGAAATCCCACAACACTCTTTTCAACAGCCTGAACTGGACCCTCCTCCTCCTTCCTCCTATGCCGTGGATGGACAGTGGCCGGATGCCCTGCACCCACCTCAGCCGCTCTCTCACTATCCTCCGCACCTGGATGGGGAGAGAAAATTGAGCAAAGGGTTCCTGGTTTGAGACACGGACCAGGAGAGATCACTCATCAAATCCTGTCATGGGAAACGCAGCCTCAGAATTAGCAATATGAATATTTTGCTGACAAAATCAGAGCAAGATAAGGAGGTCTAATAAACCCTTCAAAACACTTTCCCCCCACCCCAGACTCCTTCCCGGGCTCTTCCTCCTCCCTCCATCAGCGCAGGGAGTTGGGAATGGGGGCCCCAGGCAGTTCAGCACAGGTTGTTTCTGCCACTGCTCATTCAGAGCAGTCACAGTCCTTGCCCTCCTCTGCCTTTTTTATCATCATCTTCAGTTTTGAGCCTCGGTCCACACTGTCTTCCATGGGAGTCTCTTCTCCAGGGATTTCTCCAGCAGGAGTCCTTTCCATGGGCTGCAGTTCTGCCCCAGCTGCTCCAGGCTGGGGCCCTTCCTTGCCCAGGCTCAGTGCCTTGAGAAGTGCTCAAGCGGGGGCTTCCCATGGGCTCACAGCCCCCTTTGGGCATCCTCTGCTCGGCCAGGGGCTCCTATAGGGGGGAGGGGGAGGTCTGCTCCCTGGGGACCCCTACGGACTCCGGGGGAATCTCTGGAGACCTTTGTGCCCCTCCTTCCTTCCTGCAGGGCTGTTCCTCTCACAGCCTCGGTGTGAAAACCATGTTCACTGTCCTGTGAAAATTAAAAAAGTTTAATAAAGGACAATAGCAGACAAGAACCATAAAGCAAAGGTTGGCACTCAGCCAAGAGCACACTGTTGTCTTTGGGGATACTCCTTAAATACCTTTTCTTTTATATCAGCCTGTTGCATATCCATAGACCCTTATGCATGGTAAACTTTTCCCCCAAACTACTTTACATGTTCCAAGAACTGTTCATCATATCTCCTCCTTGGATCCACATTTTTAGAGCATGCATATTCCTGAGTTGTGCTTTTAGTCCTTTTTTATCATCTTCTTCAGTTTTGGGCCTTGGTCCACGCTGTCTTCAGATGGTGAGCGCTGATAGTTGGCATATCTGTAGCAGGTGTCCTCATCCTATGTTCATTGGATGTTATCCCATCCAAGCAGGCATTTTAACACAAGCATGCTTATATTAGCTATCTCACTACTATGTCTAAGCTTAATTAATACCAGAAATAAAACCAATATCTTTATAACACAGTTATTTTCACATCCCACATATAAAATCCATCTTAATATTTGCAAAAGCCAATATTATAATATGTATTTATAATACTTGGGCTCCTCTTGGCTGCCGCAATTCCATCTCTGCCTTCCCTTGGATTTGCCCTTCCCAGCTCTTGGAGCGTCCACACCAACATCTTTCATCCCCCATCTGCTCCAGGACATCCCATGAGTCCTGGGAGCTGTTGGGGACACTGCCATGGTAACAGTCAGTCCCAATATGTCGCGACAGTGGCTTTGGACACGCTGTCACAATTGGTTCAGACACGTCCCAACCATTGGTCCCATCGCATTGGGCTGTCAGCTCCAGGACATTGTCACACCTCCCACAGTCTATGACAGCGCCATGGCAGCTGCAACTACTGGCTCAGGATCTCAGTCCCTCCGTCCCGAAGACTCTTCCCGGGGGTCTCGCCTTCTGCGCCGTCAGCAGCTTCACTCACTGGGATTTCAGTCCCTCCCTCCCAAGGTCTGCCTCTGGTCTGCCCCTGACCCCCACTCCTTCCAGCCCCTTCGGTCATGCCCCCAAGGGCACATCCCGACTGAGGGTCCAGAGCTCCTCCCAGGATCAGTTGGTGTCCATGGAGCACTGAGTGTGGGGGTTTCAGATCACTCACATCGTCCTTTCCCACAGGTCATGGGCTCCAGCAGCCCCATTGTGATCCTTCAGGATGTGCCCAAACAGCCTGAATCGCAGCCCTCCATCAGATACAAACCAAAGACCACCAGAATCATCACCAGGGACCTGATCCGGGACCTCATGTAAGGCTGTGCCCAAGGCCTGAGGGGTTTTGGGGGAATGGGTGTCAGTGCAGCATCCCAAAATCTCTGGGGAGCAGGGATTGGCAGTGTGCCCTGGCTACCCCCGGAGATCCTACTCCCTGCATCCCAGCCTGGTGCCACTTGCAGCACATTTTCCCTTCTTGCCTCACCTCAAAACAAGAGAGGTGGGTCCCCACAGCTTCCCCAGCACTTCCCACATTGATCTGGACTTGCTTGGTGGCTGAGTGGGCAGCTCAGGTAACACAGGGACCTCTGTGCCACTGAGCTCTCTCCCTGTGCTCCCCAGCATTCCCCAGGAGAAGCCCCAGCCGTGTCTCATCATTGGAGAAAAGGAATATGAGAAACTCAAGGAATCTGCTCGAGCCCCGACTGAGGTGGAGCACTGGGACAGGCTGAAGACCCTGAGAGCCAAACAGGACGCTGCTTTCGTAGGCATTTCCCTTCCTGCTTCCCCCTTTTCCTGATCCACAGCTGGATTTGAGGGTTGGTGCCTCCCACAGGGGGTCCTCCCTCTGTCCACCACCTTTTGAGGCACAGGGGAAGCTGCAGGCCTCAGGGCTCTACTGAGAGCTGAGCATCATCCCTGAAATTGTGCCCAGCACTCCCAGCCTTCCAAAGGCACAAGGTGTCTCCCCAGAGGTGTGGGGAGGGGTGCTCAGGGCCGTGCCAGGGCCCCAGGTGCTTGACATGTCCCCACTCAGCGCCAGGAATGCAGCACCTGAAGTGTGACCCCTGCGAGCCCTGGGGAAGGTAGCTGGAGCAGCAACGGCAGAAGGCTGTAAGAGCAGCGGGCTCCTGATTGGGTGGGCAGGGTCAGCAGGAGCTGTCCTGGGGCTCTGTCCCACCCTGGGGCTCTGTCCCACCCTGGGGCTCCGTCCTGCGCAGGAGTGGGAGGCCACCTTGCAGGCGGAGCAGCAACAACTGCGCCTGGAGAAGGAGAAGGAGCTGGCCCGGCTCAGAGCCACACAGGAGCGGGCCCAGGACTGGCAGGCAGAACGGGTGAGTGGCCCAGGAACAGGTGACGTGCTCCCCTTCCACCATCCCTGTCACCATGCCGGCAAAGGGGCAGCGCCCTTGGATGTGGGGAATCTGTAGGACCAGACCCTGTGGAGCCAGGGGATGTCCTGGAGTGGTGCCGGCAGAGCCAAAGCCATGGCCAAGGGATTCCATAGCTGCCCCTGAGGGAAGCCCAGCATTTTCCTCTATTTGGGCAGGATGCTCTGAGGGCCAAGAGGAACCAAGAGGTCGCAGACCGGGAATGGCGGCGGCGGGAGCTGGAGAAGGCACGGAAGAAGGCTGAGCTGCAGCAGCAGCTGAAGCAGGACCGGCTGGAGCAGGTGGCCCAGAAGGAGCAGTACCTGGCCATGCAGGTGCAGCAAGACCGCCAGGAATTCCAGAGGGTGCTCAGGTGAGGCACACGGGACCAAGGGATGGCTGAGGCCATGGCCAAGCAGCTCCCAGTTCCAGCTGGTGGCTCTGGGGACTCCAGTGCCAGCCCAGGTGCTGTACCAGGTGTGGGGGGGCTGTGGCAGGGTCCCTGAGCCAGCCCGCTCTCCCGCAGGGCCCATCAGGAGCAGCTGCAGCGGGAGAAGCTGGAGCAGGAGCAGAGGGAGCTCCGGCAGCGTGCCCATGCCGCAGATCTCCGGCGGCAGATCCAGGAGCTGCAGCAGCAGCGGCAGCGGGAGCGGGCGGCCTTCATTGAGGAGGGCCGGCAGCAGCAGCAGGAGGTCCAGCAGCGCAGCCAGCGCCTCGCCCAGTTCAGGCAGCAAAAGCTGCAGGAGTTTAGGTCAGGGGCTGCCAGTGCTGCTTCCATGGGCTCTCTGGGCTCCTCCAGTCCTTCCTGGTGTCCCAGCCTGGGCCACCTCCCAGCTCCCTCTGCATCCTCAGCAAACAGAACCTGCTGTGGGGCCATGGTCCCAGATCTATTGGGAGCCTAATGGATTCCTTCCTCTGCAGAGTCACTGGAATGCCCGAAAAGTACTGTGCCCAGGTGGAGCGCAAAGCCCAGAGCCAAGCCAGAAGAGCCCCCTCCTAGGCCCAGCCCCACCAGGAACCAGCTCCAATTCCCCACGGATTTGGGGTTCCATTTGCATTGAATACATTTTCCAATAAACTATGTTTCTGAGAAGATGGTGTTTTCTGTCCTTCCCTGGCCTCAGGGCTGTTTGAGAGGAGCTGTCACAGGGCTGGAGGAGCCTTGAGGTTCCTTTTCCCACTTGTCCCACTCTGGCGTTGTGTTTAGGCTTATTAGTGAATTTTTCCCATTTGTCATCTGAAAGTTGCTGGAAGAAGGAGGGGGTGATGCCCCAGGGATGGATGACAGGTGAGTGGGTTAACAAAAAAAGTGGGTGATAGTTCTGGCTGACCATTTGTTATAAACAACCCAGATCCCAAGTGGGAATTAATCATAGAAGTTTTACTGAGACCAAAAAAAAAAAAAAAAAATCAGCAAAGAAAAAGGGACAGCGCTTGGGAGCGTGAGTGCCAGAGGCTTGTGCACAAAAATGGTGGGTCTGACTTTTATACCCTTGATATTGCATCAGCTTTATGCACATTTATCCATATTCCCTGACTGGGAAGGACTGGCAGAAACATCCCATTGTAAGTGGCCCAGATGCCCTATGGATCCTGGGCATTGACCACCTCAGGAACAGGTACTTAAAAGACCCAAAGAGAGGTTGACAGGCTTTTGGAATCACTGTTGTGAAAACAGAAGGAATTGAACAACTGAACACCTTGCCTGGACTGTCCAGTTGTTCCTGGACATCACCAACTGAGAGAATTGGCCAAAGCTCTCCCTCTGCACTGACTCATGGATGACAGCCAATGCTCTGTGGGGGTGGCTGGACAGATGGAAAGAGGCCAACTGACAATGTAAAGAGAAACCTATCTGGGCTTCTGAAATGTGGCAAGACATCACCATGCAGCTGCAGAAGCAGATTGTGAGAGTCCACCATGGAGATGCACAAGTGCCTAAGAGTCAAGCCAAGAAGGAACATCAGAATAATGAACATGCAGACCAGGTTCCCCCAGTCGAAGTATAACAGGTAGATCTGGACTGGCAGCAAAAGGGAGAGTTGTTTCTTGCTCCATGGGCTCATGATGCCTCAGGTCATCAGGGCAGAGATTTCACTTCTAAGTTGGCACAAGGCCGAGAGGTGGATTTAACCATGGACGCCATCTCCCAGGTCACCCATGATTGTGAGACGTGCTGCCGTTAAGTAGGCTGAGACAGTAAAAGCTCTGAGGAATGGTGGGCATTGGAATAAGGTATGGAAAGGCCTGGGAGTTTGATTACGTCACACTGCCACAAACCCACCAAGGTAAGTGCTGTGTGCTCACCATGGTGGACACAACCCAGTGCCTCACACTACTGCACAGCACACCATCCTGGGCTTGGAAAAACGAGTCCTGTGGCAACATGGCACCCCAGAGCTAATTGAGTCAGATTGTTAACTCATTACAGGAATAGCTTAGCTACCACCTGGGCACAAAGCACAACGTTGAGTGGGTGTATCACATCCCCTACCATGCACCAGCTGCTGGGAAGGTTGAACAGTGTCATGGACTGTTGAAAACCACTCTAAGAGCTTGCATAGGGGGGAACCTTCAAGCACTGGGATCAGCATTCAGCAAAGGCTACAATGGCTAGTCAACACCAGAGTCCCTTCACACTGTAGATGGAGATAAGGTCCCTGTGGTACAGCTGAGAGGCCTGTTAGGGAAAATCGTTTGGATTAACCATGCCTCAGGAAATGGCAAACCCACTTGTGGGATTGTTTTTGCTCAAGGACCAGGTTGCGCCTGTGTCACCAGGTTGGTGACACAAAAGGAGGAGAAACACGATGTATTCCTCAAGGCAATCTTCTCTTTGGGTGATCTGTCTGTATCTTTATGTGTATATATATATATATATATATATATATATATAATTTGAATAATGCATGTATGTATATAGTTGAAAAGTCTTAAGTTCAGTGTTGGTATGGGAAAAAAATTCAGGATGGGTAATGTTATGGGTTTAGGGTTCTTAGTGAATTTTTTCCCATTGCCATCCTGAAGGTGCTGGGAGGGCAAGGGGGGGACTCTGAGATGGACAGCCAGTGGTCAAGTCACACGAAAAGAGTGGCTGATAGCCCTGACATTCCAAGAGAATCACTTTGAGGGGAAGGGAATAAAAGGTTTTAGCAGCTTTGCCTTGGGAGCTTTCTCCCACTCTGGAACTGGGAGCTGTCGAGGTGCTGCCAGCGGTCTCGCCCTGGCCTTTCTGTGCCATAGCTCAGCACTGCGAGCGATTTCTGCTATCCCTTCTGCCTGTGCCTGCCGCTGGCCAAAGGATCCCAGTGGACCCCACTGACTCAGACCTGGGCAACTTCCAGTGCTGAGACCAGACACTGCCTGCATGGATTTGCAGGGTGAGAACCTCCTTCTTTCCCTCCTGTGCTGGCAGCAGCCCAGATCATCCTGGGAAGTTCTGAGCTGGCAGTGGACCCCCCTGCCCACTGCAAGTGAGTCCTTGCAGCCTCTGCCCCACTGGAGCTGCCAGCGCCCTTTGCCAGCTGTGGTTATAACTGCACCCAAGGGGAACAAATAGCACTGAGCAGGTTAAAAGATTCTGTTCTTCTGTTATTGTTTGTTCTGCTCGGTTTTATTTATTTGCTAGTAAGGAACAGTTATTCCTTGTTGGATTTGTTGCTGAGAATTTTCTGTCTGCATTGCAGACTTTGAGTGATTAGTTATTGGATTAAAAGTGAAAATAATTTAGGTGTCATTTCTTAATTTGATTGTTTAGCCTTAGAAGACCTTGAACAGAAAGATAGATAGCCCTTTTGTAGCTTGTTAGTAGAATGCTGTAGAACTCATGACTTGTAATACAGATAAGAAATAATAAATATCTAAGCCTGAATGTGAAATATCATGTCAAAATCTTCAATTCCGACCTTGACAGAGGTAGGAAAAAAGAAGCCGAGAATGGCAATTCCTTTTTCTACATTTTTGCCTGAAAGCCCCATAATTTCAAAGGTATTACTTAGAAGGAGTGGTCTTTTTTTGATTCCAGGAGGGTTCCTGTCCTCCTTGGAAGACATTTGTCTTTTAAACCAAGACACCTTGAGACACTGAGCTTGAAGGCTTTCATTTCTCTGGAAAAGAGCCATCATCCATGGACAGTTATCAGGGACCAGAAGTGGGATTCCCTCACCTAAAAATCTGAATGTCTGCATATTGCTCCTAGACAAAAGCTGCCAGGACCGACAGCTCAGGCTTGCCTTGGACTCCCCGGTGTAGCAGGCCCAGTGCCTGCAAGGCCACCCTGGCAGTCAGAAGCCTAAGATAGGAAATGCCGAGTCGTGATGACTGAACCTTAGAAGCCCCTCTCCTCCACCTTTGGACCCTTGCTTATCTCTCTGTAAGACTATAGGTCACTTTTCCTTGACCCTTACTATTGGACAATTTCCAAAACCCCTGTATCCTATATAAACCCCTACTTCTGCCTAGTTCAGCAGAAGAGCTGTCACTGACAACCTTTGCAGAAGACCCTAATAAAGATTTCCCTGCGGAAACTCACACAGCCTTCTCCTATCTTTCTCTGTGTCTGCCCGGCACTTAGTGAATTCACAAAGATCTGATAATCGCTGAAGAGCTGAAATCACTGAGAGCTGAGCTTGCTAAGGTTGCCTGTGGCTAGCAGCTGCTTGGGAACTCAGACAGGCTGTGCTGAACAGGACTGTGCTATCCAGACTCCGTTGCAGCCCACCAGGAATACCCGAGTGGAAGCTGCATTACCCTGGGGCCATGTCTTAGCCATCCCCTAGACACTGGGCTAGAAGCGTTCCTTCCTGTGGAAAAGAGTCATCTTTAGAGGCCAAGTGCCTGGGACAGAAATTTGGATTCCACCTCCAAAAATTGCAAATAGCCGAGGATTGCTCCCAGATGAAAACTGCCAGGACCAACTGCCGGGGCAAGAAAGTGTTGAGGGGGCACAGCCGGACACCCCCATTCCCCAGAGCTCCCTCATCCCACTCCCCAGTTCCAGCCCTGCCTGGCGCCCCCTGGTGCCCAAAGCCCCACACCCGGTGCTCCCTGAGCAGCGTCTGATCCCCAGAGCTGCTCTGGAGCCTCTGCCACTCCCGGCCCTGGGGTGGATCAGGGAAACAGCTGGAGCAGGCACACCGGGAGGGTGGACCTGGGACAGAGGGACCAGGATGCCAGGGGCGAGGTGATGGCACGGCGGCAGACTAGGGACAGTGGGGAGGAGCGGAAATGGAGGGAGCGGAATCCTGGGCTCAGAACCCGAGCACAAGTCGTGGCTGCCATCGTGCTGCAAGTGCAAGAACTGGGACTGTCACATTGTGATGAAACCGATGGTTGGGCTGTGTCTGAGCCGATTGTGACAGCTTGTCCGAAGCCACTGTCACTTGTGTCGGGACCGACCGTTGCCATGGCAATGCCATCAACCACTCCCAGGGCTCAAGGGGTATCCTGGAATGGGCCAGGAAGGAATGGGGCTGCTGACAGAGAAGAAGGGAAAATTGAGGGAATGGCAGAGATGGAATTACTGCAGCAAAAGGGAGCTGGGAGTAGAACAGCCCTGCAGGGAGGAAGGAGGGGCATGAGGGGCTCCGGAGATTCCCCCAGAGCCCATGGGGGACCCCGGGGAGCAGACACCCCCCTGCAGCCCTGCAGGAGCCCCCGGCCAATCAGGAGATGCCCAAAGAGGGCTATGAGCCCATAGGAAACCGCTTGAGCAGTTTGGGAGAGGGGAAGGTGTTTTTAAGCCGTGTTTCACTTCTCATTTTTCAGATTTTCATGGAGAATAAATTCAATTAATTTCCCCGAGTTAAGTCCCTTTTGCCCCAAATGGTGCTCAGGGACAGATCCCTCCTTCCCTTCTGCCGACCCAGGACCCCTTTGTTCTCTTCCCTGGGCAGGTGAGGATGGCAGGAATGGAGCAACTTTGGGGACATCTGGAATCCAGACAGGGCCACTCCCCACAGCCCCACCATGGCCCCAGGGCAGAGCCCCTGCTCAATATTTCCACGCTTTTCTCTCTTATCTGGCAGCCACAGCCAGAACCCAAACATTCTTTCCATGAGGTTCAGAGGTATGCAGGTTTGAGACAGGAAGGAG